CATAATAAAAAATAAATAGAAATATTAAACTTGACTCCATGAAATATAAATTCCATATAAATATAGTTTTATAGCCAATTTCAAAATACATTTTCAAATCAATAATACTGGAAGAGGAATGTAGTAAAATTTTAAGAAATAAATAATTATTATAAAAGTAAAGCGAAACAAAAATGTTATGAAGTGGATGTACCACAGAAAAGTTGAATATATTTTATTTAAAAAAACCGTTCTTATTACGAACAAAATCTACAAACTATTATTTAAAAAATCAAAGAAACTTCAGCTTTTAAATAAGATAGTTGAATAAACTAATTAGTTAAAAAAGTCATTACATTAACCACAATAACTTTTGTCTATGACATTAAGGTGTAAATTGCCGTCAATAATTAATTATGGTTCCTTTAGGCCGATTCTGAATAAAACTATGAGACTTGGTCCCCATACGATAGTTATATTGTACTAAAAGCCTACCAAGATAGTGCCTCTATAGTAATAAAACATTTTTAAACTCAGACTTCATTTTTAAAACAGTTTCTTTTGATAGAGTATTAAATTCATTTGATGAAATATGCCAAATATTGAGAATTTTTTGACGCACTATAAAATGATAAGTCAGACCATTTTCCGCCTAGAAGTTGTTCGCACCATCTATTTACTGTATTACTATTGCAATGAGGGTTATCGTTTTTATACTTGACAGAGTGATTGACAGGACCTTACTCTACTGTGGCGCCAACTGGTGAGCGATATAAAAATAGCCCTCATTGCAGTCCGACTGACGTCTGTCAATGACAGTTTACTGACTCGAATTAACTGTAGAAGAGTTTCTGACCTCCCAGCAGCCGGGAATAACTTCTGGAGCCCTATTTTTGAAGCATTGAAATTCCATATCGTATATGTTTTTCTGACCTAACTAAATTGATAGATAGGATTGTCACATTCTGATGGTTTGTTAGAAGCCGGATCATATTTTTTTATCTAATCATGAGATGAGTAGGCAGGCGCTTATGCGCCATTATTAAGTCCTGTCACTCGATAGTGGTGCCAAACTGGTAAGCGGTAGAACTATTGCATTTGCACCACCATGTTGGCGCCACAGGCACAGGCAAGTAAGATAGTCAGTGGTGCCAACTATTGAGCGCAAGTTGAAGCTTAGAATGCTTCAAGAACAGGGCTGGTGGTCGCTGGCTCACTCAGTGGACTTCCAGTCGCGGTCGGAGCGCAGGAGGACCACTTCGTCCTCAGAGTCCGTTTCGGAGGGCGGTAGGTCCTCCTCATCGTAGTACGGCTTGCGTACTATCTCTGTAAGGAAAATACAGTTATATTTCTATAAAAAATCATCAAATACTGAAACCCAAGCAATTTTTGTCTTTTAAACAGTGTATGTTAGTAATATTCGCCAGTGCCGTCAACTATACTTAGCCCAATGACTCGTGGCAGGCGGGGCCATAAGTAATTATTACGTATTATAATCAACGCTATGCCTGCCTCTGTGTGACGTCACCCATAACCAGTGTGAGTGTGAGAGAGAACGTGATATGCACTGTTTTATTATGACACCGCCTGCCACGAGTCTTTGGACCGAGTATAGTGAGGGCAAATTCAATTTAATTGCTATGTATGCCCTTTTCAGAGTACTTGCCACTTATAAGCTTACCATAATGGCGGAAGACTCTCAGATACCTTTGTAAGATTGGTAAGCAGTAAAAAAGAAATAATAGTTTACCGTAGTTATCGTCAGCACACAGCGGCCTCTTATCATCGGAGGGTAGTTGCGTGAACAAGTAGTCTTTGCGCGAGTCACGCGCGCGCTGGCGGCAACTCAAACACCAGGCGCCGAGAGTCACCACGCATACACCCACCACACCTGAGAACCAAAATTTATCATTGTTTTTGAACCTTGAAGGCAGGGCATTAAAGTTGAAAATGTGTTTACTATATTAGCATTTTCTTGTGGCAGAGTTTTGGGCTGACACTGTGTAGGTTTGTTGTGAAGAAAAATATTAGCATTGTGTGGACGAGGGATAACAATATGGTACAGACATCAAGTTACCGTGCTGTGGCGTGTGGTAATAGAACCTATTGATGTAGTATGATCTAAATTCACTATTTAATTTTGCCTTTAGTAAAATAGTGTCGTTCACTATGGGCCTCATAAGAAGGCTCAAGGTCACCCAAAGGGCGATGAGGCGGGCTATGCTCGGAGTTTCTCTGCGTGATCGAATCAGATTAAAGTAACCGTCATAGCTCGCAGAATTGCTAAAATCAAGTGGTAGTGGGCGGGGCACATAGCTCGTAGAGGCCGTTGGCGCAGAAAAGTTCTCGAGTGGCGACACGGGCTGGAAGACGTAGCGTGGGCAGGCTTCTTACTAGGTGGACCGACGATCTGGTGAAGGTCGCGGGAAGAACCTGGATGCGGGCAGCGCAGGACCGTTCATTGTGGAAAACCTCGGGGGCGGCCTTTGTCCAGCAGTGGGCTGTGGATTGAATGGATTACTGTAGATAAATATAGATCATTGTTCTCACCTGCCAGCATGACGAAAACCAGCCGCGGCATGCCGAGAACATAGTCGTCCTTTTCCAACTTGAACAGTATGTTCGGCGTCACGTTGTCGTTCTCGTTTATCTGTGGATGAACGGACGATGCATTAAGTTTAACATAAAAGTCCTATGTTGTTGTAATAGATGTTATTTTGCAACAAATACTGTTGGTATATTGGGATGTACTGTCGACTGAAACATAGGGACGTGTTTTTTTTTTCATTCGTTTCAGCCAAATGCCGTCCACTGCTTGACACAGGCTTCCTCCAAGGATTTCCACAACGATAGTTCCTGCACTACTCGCATCCAGGTACTTCCAGAATCCTTCACCAGCTCGTCGGTCCACCTAGGGAGACTTGTCCACACTAGTCACTAATTTATTCCTCTTATACCCGAATGCCCACGCTGTCAAACGCACCCAAGCTTTGCATACATTGAGACTAGATGGCGCTGTTTAAAGTGTCACTAATTTGTCTATTCCATTTTGATCACTCAGGTGATCAAAAGGGACTCTAGGCGACACTTTAGTGTCCTTTGATCACCCATGGATAAGACCACCTTAGGCGAGCAAATCCAGGTGATCAATGTAGAATAGACCTTCTACTTTACTGATTGACTTACCGGCATATGTTTCTCCCTGGTAATATATCCTGACGCACGCGCGGTCATCCTCACTTCCTTGCCCAGGTAGGTGACTGGTAGACGCACAGCGAAGTGTCCGGCGGCATCGCTGGTGTTGGTGGCTACTGGCTTAAGCGTCTTCAGCGGGAAGATGGTCAGGATCGCGTTGGGAAGCTTTGCTTAATCATCCAACTTACCAGCGATTACTTTGGGACTAGATGGCGCTGTGTACAATTGTTAGTATCAGCCAAATGACGCCCACTGCTGGACAAGTCTCCTCCAATGATTTCCACAACGAACGGTCCTGCGCTTCCCGCATCCAGGTACTTCCCGCGACCTTCAATAGATCGTCAAACCACCTAGAGAGGCTTGTCCACACTAATTTATTCCTCGTAATGTACCCAGATGTCCGCGCTATCATGCGCACCCAAACTTTGCATACTTAGAGACTAGATGGCGCTGTTTAAAGTCTCTAATTTACTTACGGCACGTGTTTCTACCTAGTTATGAACCCGGACGTATGCATGCAGTCATGCGCACCCAAACTTTTCATACTTTGAGACTAGATGGCGCTGTTTAAAGTGTTTCTAATTTACTTACCAGGTAGCATGTAGGCGATGGATGCCATTGTGAAAATCATTGGGGGAGGCCTATATTCAGCAGTGGACGTCCTATGGCTGAAATGATGATGATGAATTGACTTACCGGCACGTGTTTCTCCCTGGTAATATATCCTGATGCCCGCGCGGTCATCCTCACTTCCTTGCCCAGGTAGGTGACTGGTAGACGCACAGCGAAGTGCCCGGCGGCGTCGCTGGTGTTGGTGGCTACTGGCTTGAGCGTCTTTAGCGGGAAGATGGTCAGGATCGCGTTGGGAAGGTTTACTTAGGTTGAGTTGCACCATCTTACTTTAACCGCGTAACTATAACCATCGCCGATGTTTTTCTATGGAGTTTGATAGACTTGACGTATGTTATAGTCTAAGTAAGATGGGGAAACCCCCACCTTATTTGTCCCACTTACCGTTACGTATTTCTCCCTCGTAATGTAGTCTGACGAACGCATGGTCATGCGCAGCCAAACTTTGCATACTTGGAGACTAGATGGCGCTGGATGCCATTGTGAAAATCATTGGGGGAGGCCTATATTCAGCAGTGGACATCCTATGGCTGAAATGATGATGATGAATTGACTTACTGGCACATGTTTCTCCCTGGTAATATATCCTGACGCACGCGCGGTCATTCTCACTTCCTTGCCCAGGTAGGTGACTGGTAGACGCACAGCGAAGTGCCCGGCGGCGTCGCTGGTATTGGTGGCTACTGGCTTGAGCGTCTTCAGCGGGAAGATGGTCAGGATTGCGTTGGGAAGCGGCTGGCTGTTGATGTCCAGTGCTAGGCCTTTGAGAAAGAATAAAGAATTTTATATATCAAAGAGCTGACGGCCGCTGGGGCATTAAAGTTCTTGAGTGGCGACCACGAGCCGGAAGACGTAGCGTGGGCAGGCCTCCCACTAGGTGGACCGACGATCTAGTGAAGGTCGCGGGAGGTGCCTGGATGCGGGCGGCGCAGGACCGGTCTTTGTGGAAATCCTTGGGGAAGGCCTTTGTCCAGCAGTGGACGTCTTTCGGCTGAAACGAACGATATATCAAAAATATTTAAAAAGGACATCCACTTAATAAAGTATTGAGAGATGTAAATATGTGGATCTGGTATTTTTCACACTGTTCTCCATAAGCTTTGGAAGGTTTTGCCATAAAAATATTCTGATAGAGGGTGATGGCATGACTGATGTAATTAATGCACATGGAAAGAGATAGAACAGTGTTGTTCTAAAGTAAGACGAAGTCGTTAAGGACCAGCGCGATCTATAACTGGTGAGGGTGACGTAGAACAGGACAAAATGGAGACTCAGGCAAAGACTAACTTTGAGTCGCTGCGCCAGCTTAGTTAGTTAATATTGAATCGATTCCAAGAAGATATGTAGCTGGCAACGGCTTTGGTGGCATTGTAATGTCTATAGTCTGGTCGCGAGCACGTAGAATTTTATCCAATGACCCCAAGCTACCCATTCTTATCGCTCGCGCGTAATTATATTGCTGTCGCGACTGTGCGACGGGCGGCAGCAGTGAGTGTGCGAGCTCAGCGACCAGACTTTAGTAGGGTGATACAACTAAAGTCAAAGCCATTGGCTGAAGTAACGACGATGGTGATGTACTGACCGGTGACGTAGATGGTATTGGGATCAACTTCAACCGGCACAGGTAGAGGCAACTCGCTGAACTGTCCTCCAGGCAGGTGCTCCGAGTTCACACGCCGTAGCACCACGTCTTTATGCTTCACCACTTTCTCCACAACGCGCCATGTGAAAGCCTGCAATACGAACATCATCAGCAGATCATTTCGCAATTCTCATCGTACAATAGTTCCCGCTGAAAACCAGCTTCTCGACATGGCGCTTGCTATGTCGCGAATATAGCTGAGCGGACGCCACTTCAGCAAAGTTTATAGTTTAATGTCATGTACTGTATTTTTTTTCTATGCTGAATAAAGTGTTCTTATTCTTATTTCGTCTCCATTACAGCAGCACAACCCACTCAGGTTTAATCAGATCGGATAACATGCACGCACGCATGCACTACTGAATCGATTTTGACCTGTAGAAAGCAATATTATCTTGAGTATTGGTAGGCTATAAGAGTATATTTCTGTCGAATCTTAATTAGATGAAAAAAGCTGTAAGCACAGGACTATTCCCACCTCTCGTTCCCATCGCTGCAACTCCTGTGTAGCCAGGATCTGCAGCTTTACCGCCAGTAAAAACCCAACCAGTCCCTGCCAGATGGGCAGGGCCTACTCACTAAAACCTGACGGTGTCCTCCCGAAGTCTTTGGGACGGAGCTGCGAGTTATTGTCTGAGCTAGTCGGCCTAGACATTCTTTCGCGGCTCCGCCCCAGACTGTGGCTCGCTCTGTTTGAGCAAGCGACGACTGGCATCAGGGGAGTAGTACCTCCCCTGGTCTTCGCTAACGGTGCGCGTGAACACATGCGCGCGCCGCCGCCACGGGTCCTTTTTAGCGGCCACCAAACACCCTCGTGTCTAGTGGCCGAGGAACCAGTGAAGGTCAAGTTTGTCCCGCTGCAAGCAGGGAAGGTATTCCTTGTGGCAACATCTCGTGTTTCTCAACCTACCTGGTCCTCATACTTGTGGCAGCGGACCACGACCCGGTACTCCCCGGGCGGCAGCATGAGCCGGAAGTGCGCCATGTTGGCGCTCACGCGGTAGGGCTTCGCCACGCCCTCCACAGAGACTGTGGCCTCGCGCATCGAGGCGCATGCCTATAGCCTTGTTCGCACTAGTCGAGTAACTGACCTTTAGTAACTAAACTACTATCTATACTGGCCAAAAAACCCGTTCAAAATCAAAATTATCTTTATTTGTTTAGACTAATTAAATTGGTACTTGCAAATCGTCAAATGCTCTTTTAAGGAGCCTATACATGTCACTTTTTTTTTGCCCTACCAGCGCTTCGAGACAAACATTTAGCAAGTGCTGAGAAGAAGCGCCGCAACAAACTCAGTCACCACTGTTCGAGCACCTTCGGCTGCCGGTTTAAAAATATAAAAAAGTAGGAAGTTACAATACATTCAAAAGCCAGTTACTTACCACGCACTCCCGTTGATAGAAGGTGGCCTTTAAGACTCCCATCTAGCACGAGACCGCGTGGCAGTTTTGAATAGTGGCGTTCTCATTTTTATCGAGTATAGTTTACAAGTAATTTAGTGGCTTTTATACCCATTTCGGACTCATTTAGCCAGTAAGCGAGTGGAGTGGTGGGTGCTACTCGCTTGTCAAAATAGAACAGAATGGATTGGCTGTTTTGACAGGCGAGTAGCACCCCCCACCACGCGTTCCTATTTACTAAACGATTGAGTAACCTACTCGACCAAATTTTGCTACTGAATTACTCGACTAATGCGGAAAACGAAGCGTGAGACGTCCACCCACAAGGTGGACCGACGACCTGATAAAGGTAGCAGGAAGGCCACCAACCGTGCGATATGGAAGTCATTGCGGGAGGCTTATGTTCAGCAGTGGACTTCCTGTGGCTGAAATGTTGATGATGATGCTGTGAACAAGGGTTAAGAGTGTTCAGCTCACCTGGTCCTCATACTTGTGGCAGCGGACCACGACGCGGTACTCCCCGGGCGGCAGCATGAGCCGGAAGTGCGCCATGTTGGCGCTCACGCGGTAGGGCTTCGCCACGCCCTCCACAGAGACCGTGGCCTCGCGCATCGGGGCGCATCCCTCAAGACTAGTCGTGTACAACCCGGTCGAGTTAACTGCGCATCTCGCTGGATTGCGATTCACCCGTAAACCCCCCCGCGTTCGCCCCGTTTGTACCAGAGCGTCGATGTGACGTCACAGCCGCCGGGTGCGCAGTTACCTCGAGAGCGGGTTGTACTAGAGTAACTAAACTACTCGTTACTGACCAAAAAAAAACGTTCGCACTTTGGTCGAGTACAGTCAAACAATTATGTTCTATTTTGATAGGTGAGTAGCACACCCCACTGGCTAAGTGTCCGTACCAGGTGGTTTAGTCGAGTTCATATGAAAACTATCAATAACTTGTCCTCACTAAACGATTTAGTAATCTACTCGACTAAATTTTGCTACTATTAAATTACTCGCCCCTCGACTAAATTACTCAACTAATACGTAAGGCTTAGAGCGCTTTCATATTTAGGCGACTTAGCAGCGCGACAGATACGCGCTGCTGATAATTTCATACTATATGACAGCAGATGCCTGCCTTTACATTATAAAACCGCCGCTGTCGCGCTTCTTACGCCCTCTAATGTCAAAGCTCTTAAGGTCTTCAGCTCACCTGGTCCTCGTACTTGTGGCAGCGGACCACGACCCGGTACTCCCCGGGCGGCAGCATGAGCCGGAAGTGCGCCATGTTGGCGCTCACGCGGTAGGGCTTCGCCACGCCCTCCACAGAGACTGTGGCCTCGCGCATCGGAGCGCCTAGCTCGTTCTTTACGTAGCCCATTATACCTGTGGAGATATTTTAGTTAATTTCACCATTCGCATATACTACATTTAACGTAGTGGCGTGTATACTACATTTAACGATCATTGCAAACGTGATAGGGATAGAGACATGCGATTTTTGGTTTTACAAAGGTAATACGATAAAGACTAACACAAAGTAATAAAAACCACCTGTTATGGGGGCATTATTTGGAGAAATTTATGAAATAACCAAAAAAACACAAATTAAAATGCAGATTTACTCAAAATTTATAATTTTTTATTATTTGTAGCCATTTTCTGAGTATTTTATGTATTTTTTTAGTATCGCCTGTTATTTAGCATTATCACTGTTTTTATTTTATACCTCTTAGTTTAAAAGTTATGACATTTTCTTTACAATAAGTCATTGGAAGAAAAAAAACCTATAATTTAAAAAAAAAACTTAAAAAAAATTTGACCTCTTTTTTGTCGATAAAAATAGGTCTAGTTTCATCTATTTTCATATGTGCACTTTAACGTGACTTACACTGTATACTAAACGTCCAGGAAATAATATGTATAGCCTGACCAGGAACATAAAAACCCTGGCATAGAGGCGCGTCAATTGCATTTGATAGTGCAACACTGGGTACAGTCGTACCTGTGTTAAATTAATAGGCTAACTTTATGTATCAGGATTTAGGATTACGGGCTAATTTGATATTTTCATAAATTAACGAAAAAATATTATTATAGGTAACCTGGTTTAAATAAATTAAATGAAACCATCAATCGAGTTAGTAGGATTTATTTTATTATTCATCAATAATCAAATTCAGAACTTGAATATTCAACTGCAATGTCTGCTCATGAACGCTTCAAACTCGGTACTTCTTTCCCAATTCCATAAAATTCAACACTTAGAAAGTGACAAACAACTTTAAAATAGGTAGTTGAAACAAACCACAGCTAATTTTCATAGTGGANTCAGGCTATAACTACAACACAACATACTCGTAGTGGTCAGAACAGTTGCTAAGGAAGCAAAGCGTCCATGGGATTATGTTCCACATAATTTATACCATTATAAATGCAAACATTACGTTACCCAATGCAAATTATACCTTTACTATACTTACCAGTGTCAGCCTGCTGCACGAAGCTCATGACGCTCTGCAGGTTGTCCCGCCACACCCACGCGATGTCCCTCGCCTCGGGCATGCGGCAGCAGCTCAGGCCCGCAGATATTACCGGCGTGTCTAGTTTCTCTAATAGTGTGTCTATTAGGGCTCCGTGTATCTGCGAGATAGGTATCGGGATTATGACTTATACCACACTTTCCTAGTCGGTACACTCTTGCCAGAGTGCTCGTGGTCAACATTGTGAATCACGTAGTCAACATTGTATCTTTGTAATTCATTATGCCTATTTCAAAAATTATTCCGCTATTTAATTTAATTTGTAAACCTTTGAAAAGGAAGCTGACAGTAGTGACTCGAGTTACTTCTAAAGTGTATAATACAAGATGTGATGTATTCGTATCCGGGGCACATGAAGCTAAAATTTATATTTTTTTCAGGGACTTCAGGACCCGGTAAAACTGGTCCCTAAGCGCAGTTTGTTCATTTCAGCCAAATGACATCCACTTCTTTACAAAGGCCTCCTCCAAGAAGTGTAATAGGCTAGTTTCCTAAAAAAATTTTTTTAGTCCGTCATGTTTAATATCAAAAAATATTGGACACATATATTTTTATTTGTTAATCTAACGAATAATTACATAGTTATGGTGCGTTGAAGTTCTGCACGACGTCACAACGTGCGGCACTTTTATGCACGCATTGACGTCACGGGCCTCTTCTTATGAACTTTGGCGCGATTTATCTCTTTAAATTTTCATTAGTTTGAAAAAGTGAAAAATACGTGTAGAGTATTTTTTGATAAGTTAACTGACGGACTAATTAAAACTCTTGCTTTTTGACCCAGGAAACATCCCTATTATAATAATAAAAATCACTGTAGGAAAATGACTCTCTCTAATTTACCAGAGGCAAATGGACGACTTGGCCTATACTGCCCACGTTGGCCAGACGGGCTGCAGAGCCCTGATGTTCACATATTTCTCCCTTAGGCTAAGAACTCATAGAGCGATTTTCACCCGCGCCCGCAGATTCTGTAGAATGCAGATACTTATGTAAAAACGAATGCATAACTCACGACGCGGTTTTCGCCCGCAGCGGGCGCGGTTGTAATCGGGTCCCGCTCGGAGGTTTTTCGAGCGGGAGAAAGCCGCCTTATCGGCGGGCAACCATTTTGTAGGTCTATTCCACTTTGATCACCTGGCTTTGATGACCCAGGTGATCAAAGTCTACTTCCAGTGACAATTTAGTGTCCTTTGATCACCCACGGATACATTTTGTACCAGATACTTAGCACGCGGCGCGATTTAAAATCGCGCCGTGAGTTCTTAGCCTTAGTCACCTCTTACGACATTCACGGAAAGTTTGGGGGGTCCTATTCTACTCTGCCACAAAGCTAAATAATGAAAACAACTTACCTCATTATCATTCGACGCCACACACGCGTACTTGTCGCTAGGCGTCCTGTTATCCTGGTAGACCCTCGCGAACTTCTCATATATCTCCTTCGACATTTCGGGATACGCCACATCCTCGTTCCCCGAAGACAGTTCCAGCACCAGATCGAACTTTTCACTCTTTAGCAGTTCCACAAAGGATTTCTCTCTAGTGTAATTTGTCAACGGATTATTGTTGCTTTGAGTTATGTAGCTATACAGGCTGTCTCCAAATCCTTCTTCTAAAGTATCAATCTCACATTTGCTGGATCCGTCGTACTGTTTTATGACTTTTTCAGCTAGTACGTCTATGTTGGGGATGAAGTGTAGTACGGTGGTGTTTAGCAAGCGTTTGTGGAGGGGCTCTCCTATGGAGTAGGCGTTGGCTATGTGCCGAGCAAAGTTGATTAGCATCTCTTGTCCAAGAGGTTCTGAGCCGTAGAAGCTGCTGATGATCGCTATGTGGAACTTGGTCTCTTCGGGCGAACCGACCTGTGGAGTAATATTTTACGGTTTTAAGGCTATAGAATATACAATTTGAACCCTACTGCCTTTAAAAACCACAAAAAACCTGTACAGAAAGGTATAGGTACATTAATATCATGGGACTGGACTGTATTATCACTATATGCTTTTATCATTGATTTTTATATTACCCAAAGAGGGGTAGTGGGAAACTGTCTGACTTACTAAATGGTAGTTCTAAAAATAGGGAAAGTATATCTGCAGTTTGTCTGACGACGTCACAATAATATGACCTTCAAAAACCTTGTAGTTTTCCTTAAAACTGATACATCAAGCCCAAGAGATCTACGGGGTTACTCCCAAAAACGTTATCCTAAGTTTTGAATGTTGTTATCCCTCTCACGGAAAGCGAGATGGTGACAGATAAAGCCCGGTCTGTGAGCACGTAGAATTTTGTCCAATGACCCCAAGCTACCCATCCTTATCCCTCGCGCGTAATTATATTGCTGTCGCGACTGTGCGACGGGCGCCCGCAGTAAGTGTGCGAGCGCGACAGCAACATAATAACGCGCGAGCGGTAAGGATGGGTAGCTTGGGGTCATTTGACAAAATTCTACGCGCTCGCGGACCAGACTATAGTACCCCAGTTAATTGTGCATTCTAGTGCCCTGACAATAAGGTTAACATTACCTGGTCAGTGATCTTCAGCTCATGGAACATCGACGTAGCCAGGCTGTATCCAGAGATTGTTGTGTACTCTATATCTCCAACAATAAGGGTCACATTACCTGGTCAGTGATCTTCAGCTCATGGAACATCGACGTAGCCAGGCTGTCTCCAGCTCGGAACTCCGCTACGTCCGGGAATTTGTTCTCCAGTTCTGAGAGTAGCTCGTAGGCCTCCAGGCGAGAGTGGTACCGCGTGTTGATTATGTTCTCTAGCACGCTGCGGATAAAGTTCAAATTACATTACCATAAACCGAGAAGTACAAGTGCATGCATGCCAATAAAAGTACTTGAAAATGCACATGCAATTTGGACTTTAATTCAAAAGCTTTAAGGCGCATTGGTCGCTTTTGTCATCGTGACAGTATGTCTCTTCATAGATAAGAATAAGTACTACGTTCTCTCTGAGAAAGATGACTAAAAGTCACCCGTACGTAGCTTTAGAATACAAATTCAGAATTTCTGTTGGTAGAAAGTTCACAGAAAGTAGATTATGATTAAATCATATGATGCAAGTTTGAAAAAGTAATACTCACCATTCTACATGCAAGTGTTTGCGTGAAAACATATTTAGACAGATGATATACAGTTTACATGAGTTCAATGATATTGAAATGAGCGACAATTCTGTATAACAATAATAAGGGTCTAAAACTATTTTGAACAATAAATTAATTGTATAAAGAGGATGAGCTAAAACAAATCTATCAAATCAAATTTTCGGTATTCAATCTAATACTATTAGACAAAGTTATTTGTAACTAAATGTTTTGGATGGATTACTAATGTTTGGCCAAAAAACGTTTCCCAAATTATCACATCGCAAACAACGTATCGCAAATTTTCATTTGGCAAATTCTCATTTGGCAAAGCAACTTATTGCAAACTTTTAATTCGCAAATGTTGTTTTTGGCATATTATTGTTTAGCAAATTATTGTTTGGCAAAGTATGGTTTGCCAAATGTTTCATTAGGCAAAAATATTTCACGATAAACTATTTACAAAATAATTTAATTGGTGCATAGAATGGATACAAATTAGCTTGTGGTTATTATTTTGTTTAGTGGGTAGTTAATATAACATTTGTTCTACATTAATTTCCTTATTTCATTCTTTTTATCGAAATTTTCAAACGATTCATTAACAATAGAGGTGATTCTAGCGCTCGGCGGCCGCTGCCGCGGCACGCTTCGCTCGCCTTCGCGCATTAAGGGTCACTGTTCTAACCTAACCTAACCTACTTTTTTCTGTTACACCGGTGATGAGTACAAATTTACTGCGGTGCCTTGCCTCGATGCCGTCCACGACTCTGCTGACCTCCTGAATTTGCCGTCTTAGAAGATCCACAACACCCAGCGTGTGCTCACGGAATGTGTAGAACTCGCGGGACAGGGACTTCAAGTTCTCAGATTGTGCTGGAGATGATGCCTTTGTGGCTTGGAGGTGTGCTTCAAACTCGGCCATCCTTTTCATGAGCGACTGCTCGAGTGCGTGCTGGGTTTCTACAATGCTCCCAAGGCTGTCCATGATAAAGTGCAGCTGACTCGGTTCGTTTGTGCAGTAGAGTGAATGTGTGAAACAGTCGCCGGCAGGTATGTGCACTTATTTCACCAAATACACATTAGATGACTTTCACTCCAATATTATGTTGTAAAGCGAAGTGTTATGAGTATTTATTGGTGGAATTTGTTATGAAAATGTCCTTATATCTATTTTTAAAATAGTTTTTTCTGGGGAGCAGATGTTAACGTGTTTGCCGACTACCGCCGAAAAAGTTATATATGTGACAATATGAATAAAAAATTTAAAACTTACGTGCATAAGAAAATAATGAAAGCTTACGTTTAACGTTACGTTATTTTTACTAACCTAAAATGCAACTAAGTGCAGAGTATTTAAAACCCACCGCCGCTCGACTATTGTGGTGAGCCCACTCGTAACACAAGCTTATTTAGCTTAACACGAGGGGCTAACGGGACTATTAGTAATTTGTACAATAGAAATTGCAAATTTTTAATAAAAAAAAAGAAAAAAGAAAAAAAACCCTCCCATGCCGCTCTCACATCTCAGGCATTGATTGAGTTATGCATTAGATCTAAAAGTCTTATGATTTTTTACTTTCTTAGTAAACAAAGACTAGTCTGTGATATTGTACTGGTTAATCATCTATGGTTTGCTCTACATCGTTTTTAAAATACATACAAATGAAACCTTATTTAATACATAAAATACAAGAAGCAACATAAACTTTTATAGTCTTCCTGCACAGCAGTTCTAAAATGGATTTATTGAAGTTATAATTCAAGATTATAAGCCGTACCGTTACCGTAACCGTAAAAAGTCAAGAATCTTGTTAGAATTACATACGTTAGAATGTTTAAAAAAACACATATTATTATTATATTTTAATTAAAAATGCCTTTTCCATGATATTAAAGTTTCAAAACATTTCACAAATGCTGCGCAGGAGTGCCATTACAACATTACAAGTGACGTCACAGTCCAAACGCGAAGCAAAGTGAACCTTATCGTGAGCTACATAAAAGTGCTTACCGGAAGTCATACGCCGATGACCAGTGCTGGGGGTCGATAGCCATGAGCGTGAAGTTAAGGCTGACGGATCCATTGGGTGGGACGGTCACTTCTTCCGTTACACTTTCGTACCTGTGGAATAATATGAATAAAGGTCAATTTGCATTGTTTTCACTGATTTCGTACCAAACAATTTTTCCACTTGACGTCAGATCACACATTTCTAAAAATAGATAAAGTTGTTATTTGAAATCTCGTGACGTCATTTGACACGTCAATGCGAGTCCCATAATAGTAAGTGACGCCATGGTCAGCTTATTTTGTACAAACTTTAGATGCTTGTACGGCTGGCAACGACGTTGTAGATTCCAGGAAGTTTAGTATCCTCCAGTAGCCTCCATCGACTGTCGAGCGCGTTCTAGGTAATCATTGAGTAGACTGTATGTTTAGCAGTGGACGTCCTGGCTGAAATGATAGAAAGATAATGCTGTTTACCCACTACAGCTGGCAGTGACGTTATAAGTCGCGGGCAGCAATATCTTCCTGTATGACGGGAGCCTTCCAGGAAATTATTTAGGGAGGCCTATATTCAGCAGTGGCCAACGGACATCCTGTGGCTGAATTGATGATGCTAATAATGCTTAACCACTACGACTAGCGGTGACGTTATAAGTCCCTGGTAGCAGTATCCTCCAGTAGTCTCCATAAACCGCTGAACGCACACTGTGACGTATGCCTTCAACGGAGATGGTAAATAAGGATGCTAATGACACTCACCCACTACGACTAGCAGTGACGTTTAAGGTCCCTGGTAGTAGTATCCTCCAGTAGTCTCCGTCAACCGCTGAACGCACACTGTGACGTATACCTTCAACGGAGATGGTAATGTTGACTAGCGCACTGTCAACTTTTGATGAAATGATGATGCTAATGACACTCACCCACTACGACTAGCAGTGACGTTATAGGTCCCTGGCAGTAGTATCCTCCAGTAGTATCCATCGGCTGTCGCCTTTCATGAAATCATTGGGTAGACCTATCTTCAACAGTGGACGTCTTTATGCTGAAATGATGATGCTAATAATGCTTACCCACTACGGCTGGCAGTGACGTTATAGGTCCCTGGTAGTAGTATCCTCCAATAGTCTCCATCAGCCGCCGAGCGTACTGTATGCCGGATGCCTTCAACGGCGATGGTCGCGTTGGCTAGCGCACTGCCGATGTGGCTGTGGACGAAGCCGTGGACTCCTTTATGGACCTGTGTGGAGGAATAAAGGTTTATAACAGATGAAGTTAGGGCAGTGGAATTTCAGGGTTTCGAATCTAATCTTTTCTGGTTTGATAGCCTAGCAGTCGAAGGGTTTTATTTAACAAGTGAACTTTCGTTTTCGATTTTGATATGTGCGGTTACTAGTTGGCATCACTAGGTCCAGTCTTTCGCCAATGGCGTCAAATGGTGAGCGACAATTCGGCAGTTTTCATTGGCAAATGAGACGATTTTGTTGGGCGGCTATATTATAATCTTTTCAAGTGTCGTAACTGAAGCTCGCAATGTCATCACGCGAAAATAGTGATCATTTTCACGCGAAGAATCGCATCTCCTATGTCTCGCTTTGTACGAGGATTATACTATGGCCGGTACAGGAAGTATGTTGCTTTTTTCGGTGACGAATCGTCTATTTTTCGGCCTACCTGTTCGATATACGTCAGCAGCGCGTCCTTGTTGTGCTCCCAATAAGTAGGCAGGTCAGATTCCGGCGGGAACTTGTAGCAGCCTAATTCTTATGTCAGCTCCATATCATTCGTGTGTAGGTAGTTCCAGTCTCCTTCACCAAACTCAATTAAAAGTCAAGCCAAGAATGTGTCTGTGGTAGGTTCGATTCAACCTTTCTCCACTGCTGGACAAAGGCCTCGCCTATTTATTTCCACAATGACCGGTCCTGCGCTGCCCGCATCCAGCTGCTTCCGCGATCTTCACCAAATCGTCAGTCCATCTAGTGGGGGGAGATAGTTTTCTGCTCCAACAGCCAACTTACCTGTTCGACATACGTCAGCAGCGCGTCCTTGTTATGCTCCCAATAAGTAGGTAAGTCAGATTCCGGCGGGAATTTGTAGCAGCCCAGTTCCAAGGTCAGCTCCATGTCGTTCGTGTGTAAGTAGTTCCAGTCTCTTTCATCAAACTCCACTAAAAGTCAAGCTTAGATAGTGTCTGTGTAGGTTCGATTCAACCTTTCTCCATTGCTGGACAAAGGCCTCGCCTATCCTATTCCACAACGACCGGTCCTGTGCTGCCCGCATCCAGCTGCTTCCGCGATCTTCACCAGATCGTCGGTCCACCTAACGGGAGGAGGTAGTTTTCTTCAACTTACCTGTTCGATATACGTCAGCAGCGCGTCCTTGTTGTGCTCCCAATAAGTAGGCAGGTCAGATTCCGGCGGGAACTTGTAACAGCCCAGTTCCAACGTCAGCTCCATATCGTTCGTGTGTAGGTAGTTCCAGTCCTGCATGCCACCCGCTAGCACGTACCTGGAAAATGCGTACTAATGAAAAAGCAGCCATGGGTGTACCTAGGTTCACTTTTAGTCTAGAGGGGAGCACAATGTACCTGGGAAATGCATACTAATGAAAAATCAGCCATGGGTGTACCTAGTTTTTAGCCTAGAGGAGGGCTTATCTGATTGTTTTACGCAGGCGCGAGGGACTAACGCCCGTTTTCACAAACGATGCTTTCTTAAGTGAAGCAGAAAATCGAACGCACAGCGTTGAATAGAGCTCTGTGATTGGTTCGTGTGTCACCCTGTACGTGCACGCGCACTGTGAGACCTCATAGTAATGTTTGTGAATACGGGCGTTAGATACAAAACTGAAGGTATGTAGGGTCATATAATTTCCAGAGAAATTGAGAGGGAGGGTAGTGGAGAGTGGGCAACAACCATCATCAACATTGCTTTGTGTTACAAAAGGTTTGTAAAAGAATTAGAAAGTTTTATACAGATTTCGTGTAGAAAAAAATCTGTTAGAATTTTACAAAACGCTAGATGTCGGTATATGTGACATGTCACATTGATAAAGGATGACAAACTCACCACTGAGCGCCATTAGTGATCCCTCCGGGGAACTTTTCGTCTATCAAGTTCTTGCAGGGCTGCCCTAGATGCATCTTCGTATGAGCCTGTCACAGTCAATTAAATTAATCAAACAAACATTTTGTCAAGTAACAGCTATAATTATAATATTTAAAGACAACATCTAGAGTAGATGAACTGGTTATAATATGTGTATTATTTATAACGACATCAATTTTATTGTCTTGTGCCCGTTTTCACCATCAATCCCTAATTTTTAAGTGACTCCTATAAAAACAAAATTCCTGTTTCGTGTTACCATAGGGGTCACTTAACATTTAGGGATTGATGGTGAAAACGGGCATTAGTCTAATGTCAAAGTTCTACCTAGTATGAATCAAATATTTAATACTTACCCAAATAATAAATCAAAAAGTATGCGTGTACTTGCATTCAAAACTAAAGCCAAATCGTCAAAACAAGCCATTCAATATCAGACTACAGGGCACGTCAAAGCTTAAACAATACAGGCTATGAAAGGACCTAATAGCAAAAACTTGAACAGTGAGTTTAGAACATTCACGGTTCCCATGTGTTAAAGAAAAAAACATTTAATTTTATCAGGGAAAACACTTAAGGTACCGCGGTGGCAACTCTAGAGCCGTATAATAAAATTTTGAGTGTCCGAAAATAAACCTATTACAATTTGCGTAAGTTACCATCACTGTTCAAGCTTCCCAACTCTTATTTACTTACGTCAGCATAAACGTGAGCCAAATGCATAAACACAGGGTCATCAGGCGAGGCGGACTTCACGCCCGTCTTCATGTCAGGGTTGCCATCATACGGGTAGTTGGCGACGAGGGCGCCGCCGTGAAGGTTCGCGGACAACACGAAAGGTACAGACAACGACCAATTCATCACCGCAATTGTCTCTGGTTCGGGGAAAATGTTGTCCTGGAATGGTGGTTAGTTAAATAAAACCGTTATTTTCAAACGGAAGGGTTAGAGGTTGGTTATTGGGAGATTTAATTTAAAATTCAAACAAGTTTTTGTACTTAAAAAAACCGAGTGGCTCAATGTCTTGGTAGCTCAGAGATCAGTGACCTAATTCACGTATTTTGACAGTCAAGATCTCGCTGACGTTCATAAGTCGTCCCATTGAAAAACAGTTCTAAGTCCGTATTCACAAGGGTTATTTTCGATATAACGACTATGTGATAGGATCGCGACTCAGCGATTTGTTGTCATTGAAGTTTTGTTATGTCGTCCCATGGAAAAACAGTTCTAAATCCGTATTCCCAAGGGTTATTTTCGATAGAACGATTACGCGATAGGATCGCAACTCAGTGTTTTGTTGTCGTTAAAGTTTTGTTACGTGAATAAGGCTACAGATCAATCTACCGTTTAGCGAAAGTTACTTTATCTAACCGGTTTACAAGTTTTACAAGTAAAAAATCATGTTTAAGGGAAGAGGAAGACTTAAAATGTTCAGAGCACATGCCATCAAAAGAGATAATTATTTTCATATTGCAAAAATCATTTTGTCAAATCAAATCATTGTAAACTCAATCCAGAAATGCAGTTTTCAAATCATCATAATCAACTCAACCAATTTATGCAGTTATTTTAGCAAAAATCATACAGTCAAATGTCATTCTATAATAAAAGTTAACAAACCTTTGTAGGCCCGTACTGATCGGGGAAGTTTCTGTTCAAGTCCACCTTGTGGGCATTGGCTCGGCCTCGCATGCTGCTGTAATCGCCTGGAAAAAATAAATACATAAAATAAAGAAGAAAATAATCAAAACAACAACCAAATTTTTATGTCATACGGTTGGAAATTAGCCACGAAATGGCGGCGCCGCTTGACATTTCCGCCTTTGCTATGTACTTGAGAACGCTGGCGCTCTCGACGGCTCTAGAGAATTTTAATATCATGGTTTGCACTGAATCACGCCTCAATAGGCCTAGGATGCACGCCGCGATAAGATTTTATCGCGCCATTTTATCGATTTTACACGATAAGCCCATACGTTTGTCATCTAAAATCATCGACTCAAAATCACGGCGCGCATCTTGGCTAGTTTGCATTTGCACTGAGTATGGATTAAGATACCCACCTTCTCTAGACTTCTAGTAGTCATCAGGGTTCATACTCGGCATGAGATATATGAGAGATGAGGCACTCGTATAGTGTTCAGTATACGCTGCACCCTCTCGTCTCCCGCATAGTACTGGTAGCAGAGGAATTTGGCCAGTTGTAGGTCGTTTTACAAATAGCCCTATAACCACATACCTTCCCTGGACTTTTCGTAGCCATCCGGGTTCATGTAGGCATCAGATGCACTCTCTCGTCTCCCAGTATTATGCATACTGGTAAGTGGTAGCAGAGGAACTTGGCCAGATTGAGCAGAAACTGCCAATACTAGTACACTTAGGCGGCTTTTAGAATCGCGCTGACCGCTCGCTGATCGTCGGCGATGACAAATCAATATGTATGTAATTGAAGGGAACGTTCCTGAGTGACGCTGATCGCTCGGCGCCGACGCTTCATACATTTCGGCTGTCAGCGCTGACGGTCAGCGTGCGTCAGCTTGACTCTAAAACCAGCCTCAGCGCTAGGATGCCACATACCTTCCCTGGACTTCTCGTAGCCATCCGGGTTCATGCTAGGCATCAGATGCACCCTCGTAGTGTTCAATATACGCTGCACGCTCTCGTCTCCAGCCAGCATAGTACTGGTAGCAGAGGAACTTGGCCAACTACGTGGGTACTAGTACACTTATCGCTGTTTAACGGAGACACGCTGCGAAACGACATGACATGACACAATGATACGTCGCTCGTCGCGCTTGCCACGTTGCGTTTGTCGCTGACTTAGGAGACTACGTAAGCATTACGATACCTTCTCTAGACTTCTCGTAGCCATCCGGGTTCATGCTAGGCATCAGGTGCACTCGTGTAGTGTTCAGTATGCGCTGCACCCTCTCGTCTCCCGCATAGTACTGGTAGCAGAGGAACTTGGCCAGTTCAAGCAGAAGCTCGCGGCCCACCACTTCGTTTCCGTGCATGTTGGCCACGTATTTGAACTCGGGTTTGCCTGGAGAGAAAAGTAGAGTAATTGTAGTAATATTTATTAAAAAAAAAGATTCTGAGTGTCAATAAGTAATGAGACTATAGGAGTTGGAGAACTTTCTTCATCGGATCGGGGACAGAAAGACCATACACAGAATGTCAATGTGTTCGCGCTGCTACATCAGCGCCACCACCAGCGACGCTAGCGCCCCCTATTATAATCAAGCATGCTCCATAGAAAGAGGTCTATGGAGCCGAGAGAATTTTAGTCTATGCGACGACCGCCAACCGAAGCGTCGCTTCCATTTTTTTACCGCCAACAAGAAAGGCTTAATTTTTGTTGGTAATGTACTTATAATATTGTTTAAACCGAAGTAAAACCCAATGTTCACCGAAGAATGGCTTATTATTGAAAAGGCCCCTATTTTCAAGAAACTACAAACCTAAGCTCCAACACAATGCATCAAAATGTTTGACATGAGACTTTCAAAACATAAATAGGAGAACGATCTTCTGCTGAAAAATACTTATTATGGATCTCAAAACAAACGGATATAGAACAGAAGGTTACACAAAGTTATGTAAAAGAGGAAGAGTGCAAAAATAGTTTTTACAACAATAATTCGTATTATGTATTCAAGCAACTCAACTATCACCTCGTACCTACTTGACTGTTTTCTCATGATCTTGCATTAGGCGACAAGAATAACCCCCAAGAAGTCATTGAGCTCAATCACAGTATATTTCTAAGCAATAGGTCTACAAACTACTCCAGACTCACCAGGCAAATGCTTCCCAGGGTTCTTCGTAACTTCCAGCACATATAGCTCCCGTCCCTCCACGGATTTCCCAATGCTGGTTAGCGCCGTGATCTCCGGATACTTCTCATGCAGGTCCTGGAGGTACTTCTCCATGCTCTTGAAGTCGTGGTGCTGGAAGTCCAGAGCTGAAATGCCGTCCAGGTCGTGACGCGGCTTCCTTTCATGCTCTGGAGATTTGCCCTTGGTTTTAGCTTGGAATAGCGGGGACGTGAGTGTGAAGGAAGGGTTTAATAGAGTACTATGTGTATTTGTATCTATATCTATAAAAGCGAACGGTCACTGACTGACTCCCTCACTCGTCGCGAAATCTCAGAAACTACAAGTGCCAGGAGTCTCAAATTTTGCATGGGGGTTCCTTTTAGAACATAGGTGCTAAGACGGGATTTTCCAAAATTCAACCCCTAAGGGGGTAAAACGGGGTTCACGCGTAGGTACGTAGTCGCGGGTGCTCGCTAGTATTCAATATAGGCCAAATAAGGTTTTTTAATGATATTATTAACTTGTGGTGTACCAATTAAGCCCTCCAACTAAGATAATTAAATGAGTGCGTTCACCACAATAATTCAGCGTTCGGCGGGGATCGAACTACGGACCGAATCGGCAGTCCGAAGACAGTTCAGAACATTTTTTTAAGTCTTAAAGAAGGATATAATTCTGGAATGGAATTTTACTGATTTTATAAACTGGGAAACATGCTCGGAGTTTTCTGTATTTTTTTTTGTCCTGTCACGGTAAATACCTTATTTACTTTTATGTGTATCTACGAATTTGACAGCAGTAAGAATGGGACATTAACTTTGCGATTTTAATTCCCACTTCATTTGAATACTCAAATTTAATGCATCAAACAAATCCTGCATGCTTATTATGATTTTAGTACTAAAATACCTAAGTAGTTTTAATTCAAGATCAAAAGTGCCACCACCGCATCCGGACCAGATGTTTGTTAGCTGAAGTAGGTAAATTGTAGAGAAAGGGGAAAGAAAATGTTAAATACAGGCGTAGGAAAGTGGATATTATTTTATGTATTTATCTGTCTGCGCACTAGGCTATTAATATTCATTTTTATGAGAACTCTTTCAATGAGGGTTTTCGCGAATGAAAAATACGCCAGATGGCAATACGTAGACGCGAGGTCCAAATGCTGCATGATTGGTTATTTTTGACATGACATTGACAGATATGTCAAAATCCACCAATCACGCAGCAGTCAGACCCCACATCCACGTCCCGCCATCTAGCGGATCTTTCATTCGCAAAAACCCTCATTGTTTGTGTACAGTCGATTTTGACTACAATTTTGTGTGTTGAAAAATAGCTCTCATGGCAACTACCTACATAAGATTTATCTTGATTTATCAAGGTTTTAGTAACTTAATGCGCCATCTACGGTACATCTAATCCAACAGGCTTAATAAGAAAGTCTTCACTGGCACACACACAGTAATTTGTATGGCCATAAAGCCCATAAAGCCCATAACTATCAAACTAAGTATGTATTTTATTAGGGTGCGCCAAAGTTCACCTAAATTTTCAACTCCGAAAATTGGAAGTCCGAAAATGTTCTTCCTAAAATTTTTCATCCTAACAATCACAATTCNGGACCCATTTTAATATACTGTTCCAACGCCACTCTTGTAGCGAGTTTTGGACTGACACTGTATAAGTTTGCTGTCGACACGACAAGAAGATACTTTTTTTAAAGCCAAGGACACGCTGGTTTGTACTTATATTTTTAAAAACGGTATATTTTTAAATAGTTATATTTAAAGTTGAAAGTTGTTAGTGTGTATTGGTATGAGGATAGTGTACCTAAAGGATGGAGGTTAGGAAAACTAAAAGAAAAATACAGCAAAATAAAGGGCAAATCTACGAAGCATAATAAGAAAGAAAAGAAAAAACCAACCACCAAAGATATTTTACTAATTATAACTAAAATATTTTACTAAAATAAAAATTAACTAAAACTAAACAACCAAAGTACTAAGAAGTAATGAGACCAGAAAAACAGTAGAATCGATATGAAACTTCAATTTATTGTTAGTCACAATACACAATTCATGATAAAAATTGAGTCAATTTCTCGTTTCGTATGTACAGTCAACATTAAAAGTATTATACCATTTCACCATGTGCACTCTAAATATAACTTAATAAATAAGGTTTTCCTTCGATGTATTGCTAAAAAATAATGGAATCAGGCGTGCTTCCTCATAAGCCATGTACTCACTACCGAACTGTAACCTTAAATCAATACTATTCCCATTTTGAGACCAATATGAGTAACTTAAGTCATCATCATTTCAGCCATAGGACGTCCACTGCTGAACATAGGCCTCCCCCAATGATTTCCACATCACCCGGTTGGTAACTTAAGTATTCTTATCCATATTGTGTTATTTCCTTATCCATAATTATATTATTATTATACAATGTATGTTTACAGATACAGTCCGTTCGCTGATGAGTATACAGCTTTAGGTTTAGGTGTGAAGATAGCAGCAAAGCAACGTGACAATAATGAAGTGAGCAGTTTATACATAAGCGATGTAGGTACTATCGGCAACTGTGTTAACTACCCATTGCCTGTTATGTCATCTCGTTCTATCGCAAAGAATCACCATTTGATGAGAGCGAGAGCAAAAACGGAAATGGATAGTTAACAGTGTGGCCGTGTGTACATGATCTCTATCAATGGTAGATAAGTAAATTATGCCATCAATCCCTAATTTTTAAGTGACCCCTATGGTAACAAATAACAGGAATTTTGTTTACATAGGGGTTACTTATAAATTAGGGATTGATGGTGAAAACGAGTATAACGGTTATAACACTGAGCCCAATTCTATTTTTTTTTTGTATCAATAATGGTATAAATCTCTTTTAAATCAATTTAAAAATGCACATGGTAATTTGACCTTATTTGTTAATAAAACATTTACGAGCACAAAGTAGGTTTTGACTTATCACAGTATAAATGTAGGATAGAAAATATCAAAATTCTAAAGTATTAATTATACAATCAACTTTGGCACACATTACCTTTACAACTAGTATTATGTGATTAACTACCATTCCCTCTAATTACTACTACAATAGATACATAAATATGTATAAATATATACAAAGTTTTTAAAATTAGTTAGTATAGTTATTAATTTAGGTCATTTATTTTAATTAGGAATGTAATTTAAAATTTTCTATTTCTTAAATTCGATTAAAAAATATCACAACCAATAAACAGGCCAAAAGGCTTTAAGTATACTTTGAGATCAATTTTGGAATGTCTAATTATTAATTAGTGAGACTTGGCACGAAACATATTGCAATAATTTTACATAATTTATAATACTAAAGTATAGGCTTCTTCCTTGTGGAAATCGTCTCTCTCTAAAGTACAGTCACGGAATGAAAAGGTTCGTCAGTTTTCAAATTGATTCCTTCAACGAATCGCGAGCACATATTACCTTTTGAAACTATGTTACAGAATCATCTCGAGTTAGAGAAAATAATCTTTAACTGTTCGTCAGTAAAGTTCAAAATTATTCAGATCAAAGTTTTTTGATGATTTATCTTGTCAAGAAAATTATTATGATTGATAAACTAAAACCTTCTTGTTGGTTCAACCTGCCATTATTATTTCTATTAAATAAAAAAAACTATTGTCAATTGGTCAATGTCATCATTGCATTGCACTGATGATGGGATAGAAAAATAAACAAGCAAAACCTTATTCATATTCCTTAGTCATATTTATTTAAATGTTTGCAGCACTGTTTCTTGCACTGTTATGTTGGCAGGTTTGACTCTTACAGTACGTAGTGCAAGCGAAAACCGACACTAAGGTGACGAACCTTTTCATTCCGCGACTGTACATGCCGAATGTTTGACAAATCTGAATGTTTGTATCTTATTCGTTGTACGCTGAACAACCCGAAGGAGTTAACTGCGCACCAGGCACACGTGACGTCACATCGCCGCTCTGGTACGGACGGGGTACGCGGGGAGGTGTGCGAGTGCGAGGGAGAATCGCATTCCAGCGCAGTGCGCAGTGGCCTAATTCACGTATTTTGAAGTCAAGATCTCGCTGACGTTCAAAAGTCGTCCAATTGAAAAACAGTTCTAAATCCGTATTCACAAGGGTCATTTTTGATAGAACGATTACTCGATAGGATTGCAACTCAGCGATTTATTGTCATTTAAGTTTTGTTACGTCGTCCCATTGAAAAACAGTTCTAAATCCGTATTCACAAGGGTCATTTTGATAAAACGATTACTCAATAGGATCGCAACTCAGTGTTTTGTTGTCGTTGAAGTTTTGTTACGTGAATAAGGGTACAGTTAACTCGACCGGGTTGAAGTTTAAATCTAAAGGAAGACTTCCGAGAACAGCTTACGATCGCATTTTTCATTCAGTACTTTATCGGAAGTATAATTAAACCTAGGTTTTAACTTAGTTGGATTTTAGGCTAAACATAATTTTTGACATACGATCGTAGGAACAACTTCACTATTTATTAGGCTTAACTGAGGAAGAGCTAGGTAGTGTCAGTTTTAAAAATACCTAATCTTAATTCCTAGCCTTATTTAAAAAAAATGAGAATCTAAAAATTACAAACTACTTTAGTTAAAATTGAGCATTAAATGTTTCCTTCAATTTACAAGTATAATGGTATTTACATAGTTAGTGACGAAAAGCCATCGAAATAATAACAGATATAAAAAATATTTTTATACAAAACATGGTTTAACCGATTGAGTCCCAAGACGGCATTAATTAATGTCATAACAATTGATTATCTATTGTGTCTAGATTCGCGGAGCTTGAAGGATTAATAAATAAACACTTGTATATTATCATATACATAATGGCTACGTATCATAGTTTTATATTTGTTATGACTTCGATGAAAAAGGCGGCAAAAATGATGATAGTAGATGATCGATTGCATTATTGCACCACAATCAAATGAAACCTGATCACCGTCAAAGCATTGAGGTGTTTCTTTCAAAGTCATTAATATTTATGTCAAATAGATTATCATAATCATATTGTGATTTTTTAAATATTTGTTTCCTAATGTTTGGCGGGGCATTTAAGAATCCTTATAGTAGTTTTTACACTAAAAAAATGGATTTTTTCTTAGCCGGCTCATTTTATTCAATCACAGTGACGTGTGATTTGTTGAATGTAAATTTTTCTTAGGTCTACTCTTTAGTTCGATTACATCTTTGTCATTCTTAGGTTAGACAAGGTATTTCGT